CACTGGGAGCACTCCCGACAGCCAGGCTATGCCAGGCAGGTTCAGGACTGCCGAGCTCTGCTCTTGGGGAGATGTGCTTTCTTCTTTGCAAAGGGGCTGGGCTGTCCAACCCCCAAAATGGGCCATTAAGCTTTATTAGAGATTTACAACCAATTAAAAGGTTTCCCCCCAGCCAAAGAGAGGTCCGGGTGGGTTCTGAGGGGAGAATTACAGCAAAGAAAGCAGCAGAATAAACCCAGAAGAAAGTACAGCATGTGGGTCACAATAGCAGAATGGGAAGCAATAGAACAGCCTCCTGTTCTGCCCCAAGCTCTGGCACGGGGTGGCTTTGTGAGTGTCGTTGTTGCTAACGCCCCTGACTTTAGCCATTTTACGTGAGCCCTCTGTTCCTGGAATCAGGTTGTTAGTAAAATCTCCCAGCTTTCATACATAAAAGGTTGAAAGTTTTAGTCTTCAGAGTTGAAAATCTGGCCTGGCAAGAAATAATCAAAATTTTCTCTTTCCTTTTTAAATTCAAGGGGGCTTGAAATGGTGCTTTTGGGTCTCCTGGTGTGGGGAATACTAGAATGTGGGCAGGAGCAGCTGGGCGGTGAGCGCTTGTGAAAAATCTGGTCATTATTCCTCTCCAGGCTCAGTTGGCAGAAATGTTGAGCACTTCTCTTTCTAGCTGAACACAAAAAAGGGACTAAGCATTTTTTTAAATCAGGCCCTTTGCATATCCCCTTCTGGAAAACACAATCCTGATCCTCCCTGGTTATTTCCAAGCAAAGTTAACTCATGGTTTTGAAGTGCTCTGGGATCCTTGGGTGAGAGGAGCTCTAGAAGCAGACACCCTCAATGATGAGTCAAATTCCCCTTCTCTCACCCGGGGCAACCCCAGGGACTTCAGGGTTAGTGTATGGTTGCAACAGTAAATTCTGCTTGTGAAGAAGTCCCTGGGAAGATGGCCTGCATCAAGAGGGCTGCACTCCATGCAGGAAGAGATTTGATAATAGAGGGCTCTTCAATCTAGCAGACAAAGCAATAACAAGATTGAATGGCTTGTAGTTGAAGCTCAGCAAATTCAGGCTCAAAATAAGGTGCAATTTTTGTTAATGGTGAGGGTAATTTCCCACTAGAACAGTCTATCAAGGGCTGAGGTGGATTCACCAGCACTGGGAAAACTTCAATCAGGACTGGGTGTTTTGCTAGGAAGGTGAGTCTCAGTTTGACGGGGCATTGGCTCAAGGGAGCCTCGGGGCCTGCGGCATACAGGAGGTCACAGTAGCTACTGTTCCCTTGTGGGCTCCTAACCCATAAATTGCCACTCAGCGGGCTTTGGTGTTGCTGCTCTAAGCTAGGTGTGACTGATACACCTGTTCCTAGTCGTGCTAGATTACCAGTCCCTGGCCAGACAGCAGCACCCAGCGTTCCTCTGGGTCTCTAATAATTCCCCCAGAAGCTGCAAAATTTTTAAAATCATTACCCAATCCAGGCATGGGAGGGGCCCATCTGGTTTCTGACTCACACACGCTGGACATCCTCCCGCTGAATCAAGGGTGTTTCTTTGGAAACCTATAGACTTTGAACCTTCCCAGGAGATGCATGAACAAGACTGAGGGGGTATTGATAGTCGAGCATTAGCCACTTTAAAGAAAGAAGTTCCCTGTCCTTGAGCAGAAGCCTGTGCCCTCTGCTTGCTTCATGTGCGCTGATCCCAACCACACAATAAATCATAAAATCAATAAGTAAGAGAAAGTCCAGACTTTGGCCTGATCTCCCCTTTATTCAAATCAGTAGGAGTTTTGCCACTGGCTTCAGTGGGAGTAAGACAGGAGCCCTGGGAAGAACAGGTCCCTGCCTTGCCTTGCCCCTATTGCAAGCTGGGGACACCAAAAACTCTCCTGGATGCCATTTTTGCAAATTCCCTCTGCTATGCAAACGCCTATAGGCCCGAGATTCCCAGGGGATGTGCCAGAGTTGCAGCAGACCTCCTGGCTTTTTCCATAGGCCAGGAACCGTGTTCCAGCAGGATGCTGATCCCCCACAAAGGAATCCTTGTAGACGGTCCGTCCCCACACGCCTCTGTGAGCTTTTGAAGGGGAGGCTTGATTCCACCTGGGGCAGTGAATGATTCATTGGGGGCAGCGAATGCATGAGTTAAGCCCCACTGGTATTTAGGTGCTAAGTACATGAATAATAATAATATAATCCAACAAGCTCGTGGGCACCACAGCAGCAAATGCATTTTTGATTTGTGGCTTTCATTTTCAATTGGCTGGCTCCAAACCCTGGCTATTTGCATACTGGTGCACGGGGGGTCTCTGCCATCTCGTGCAGACAGGCCAGCTGAAGCACTCCATGAAAGGATGGGAACAGACTGTCATGAACCTCCCTGTCCTATCCACCCCACCCTGTCTGCCCCCCCATCACACCTGGAAACAACGGCCTGCAAACTAATTCCAGCTGTGCTGTCTGCATGATCCCTAATCTGCTGAAGGCAGATTATTTCTGCTGCAGTGTATGCAGCAGCTGCTTGGGTATTTATAAAATCTATTACTTCTATTAGCTGTATTTCCATTCCTCCTCCCTTTTCCCACCATGTCTGCATGTGAAAATAAGAGAACAATGCGAGGGCACAAAACAAGGGAGAGGGGCTCATGAAAAGGGGAAAGCTCCCAGCTACAAGTGCTTTTAATTAATCAGATGTAAATTGAGACATGACTTAATGTATGAGAGAAGTTCTGTAGTGGGACTACCAGTGTTGCTGAGTGCTGGTTCACGTTTCTGAGGCCAGGAGTGAAGAGGGACTCACAGGAAAGGACGGGAGAGAAAAAGATTGATATAGTTACCTGTCTCCTTCCAGGATTTGATTCCATCGTCCATGGAGGGGAGACGCAGGCAATCAGCCACCTCCCCCTGGTAGGAAACTGCTTACTAACATGCAGCATTTTCATTGCTTGGTTAATCATCATTTCGAGGGAGGAACTGAACTGCACGTCTCCAAGGTCTCACAAAGGCCATTCAGAAAGGGAGCTCAAAAAATTTAGAAACGTCACGTGGCAGGCCCCAGGAAATTATGCAATCTGACTTCCATTGCTTTGCTTTGGAGCTCTCAAGATTGCACTCAGGTTATTATCAGTCTTCTCTTTGCAAGGCTAGAAACTTACTTTTTTCTTTCAAATGGAAGGTGCGATTCTCACAGAACTCGCATGCCTCCAGGCTTCACAGAAAACATCAGCTGCTGCGCAGGTCTCCTTTACACTGTGAAAATTGGCAATGGTGACTCAGGCATCAGTTAGTTTGCTACTTTAAGGAGCCCACACAGGTTCCCTAGATTATAACACAGAATCAAGTGCCTATTTAAAAAGCACAACAAACCGAGTGATGTTCAGGACCAGATGCACTCAAATGCCTTCTGAAAGCCTGGAGGCAAATTTCACGCACAAGGTGTCTGCAACCAGAATCATGCAAAAATGCAACCAGTATGCTCAAGGGCCTGGTTAGGCTCCTTGGCCCCTAGTTTTGTGGGTGTAACAGTAATGTGCCTGCAGAAACCCTAATGTTCATGCAGCGACTGTATCTTTTGTGATCAGCCTGCCTTTCTACTGGGGTTGCTCTACCATCATTTGGGACACAGTCATGCTTTGAGCCCCAGTCACAGACCAGGAACCCCCCAGGGCTAGGAACAAAATGACAGTCCCTGCCCTGGAGAGTTTTTGATCTTACAGGGGGAAAAAATGTTGCAGAACAAGAGAATTTACTTCACAACCCCTTGGAAAAGTCTTGTTCCCTCTGCATTCACATGGGAGCCAAGTTTCTCCTGTCCTTTGCTGTAGAGTTAAATAGAGAGCTCCTGCAGGGAACCATTACGAAAATGGCAGATCTCAGGAGGCCATTCACTGCTGGAGAAAAGGTAACGTTTGGCTATTGTATTTGATAAAGGGAGCTAATCACTGGAGCTTTCCTATACAACCAGCTGAAGTGCAGGCCAGCACACGGGTGTGGACATGTCTGGGGGTTTTGTTTCAAGTCCTATCACTGTAGGGTTTTGGACAGGGACCCGCTCTCCAGAAACCACAGTGGAGAAGAACCATGCCTCCCCCCTGTCCTCTGGGGCTGATGTTGCCGTGTATGTATACCAGTGCATATTATTTTCCCCCTCGGGAGACTGGAGGACTGCGTGGCTCATGGCTTTGAAGCTGCTCTGGGTTAGTGGTTCAGACTGGCTCTGGGTCAGCAGTAAAAGCAATGGCTTTTGTTTGCTGGTTTGGGTCAAATGAATGGGGCGGATCACGCCTCACGGGACAAACACGACCTCCATACCAGACCCCAGATGCTCCTGTTTGGCAGACCCAGGAGAAAAGCCAAAGGAGTGCATTGGACAAGTTTCCTTCTCCCTCTCAAGCCTGGGCCATCCATTGCAGGGCTGACATGTCCACACCAGGCACTTTGGAGAAGTCTCTCTAAAAGCAGCACAGCATCGGTGAGGGCCAGGTGTTTGCACTGAGCTCAGAACAGAACTAGCTGAGACTGTGGTAAATAGCCTGTGCCCAGGACACGCCGCGCTCCCATCATTTCTACCAGCTGGCAGCAGCTTTGGGAGATTTCCCAGTGATAGCCAGGGGTGGGGATGGGGTTGCAGGGGAAAAGCACAGCAGAGGCAGTGGCTTTCACGCTGTTTGAGTGTGCAGAGAGGTCTCTTCTTCAGGGCTCTCAGTCTGGCACTGCATTAAAACAAAAGCAAGCTCCCTCTCCACTACATAAAGCTCCTCTGCACGTGGCCCGGCATGAAGCTCTGACCCAGAGGGAGACCCTGATGTTCTGCATCAGGACACTTCGCCAGCACTCGCTGTGGTTCAAAACCATTTGTTATTTCTGGGAGTGCCTCTTCTGCTTGACAGGAGCAGGGAGTTAGGCAATTCAGCAATAGCAAGGCCTCTGTGGGCTGTCAAAACCCCCCGGCCTGCCTGTCTGTTTAGGAGGATGGCATGAAATATTGATTATGCGCTGCACACGCCTGCCCTCTAGACGTTTATTAGTGCTCCCTTCCCCTGGTCACAGCCACAGCAAAGCAAAATCCTTTGCTCCTGAGCACATCCCTCTCATAGGCAGAAAGCTGGCACACACAAGGGGATATCAGTGCAGGTAGGGGAAAGTAAGGGCCTCACAATACATACGTCTGGATGCTGGAACGGGAAAAAGAAATACCATTGCTGGGGAGCCTGCGTGGTCACTGGAAGGCTGATTGGACCTTCAGGCTAGCAGAGAGGCAGAATGAACAGTCGCCACAGGACCGAGGAAGTGCTGCTCACCCAGGGTGGTGACCCCAGCCAGCGTGCTCTTCACCATGACCATTGTCACTGGCATCATTTGCTTGTTTCTGCTTTGCACATAGCCACGGGGAGGTAGATGTGGTGTCCTGAGTTCTCCTGACCAGGGCCTCGTGGCATTGGCCCCAGCTGCAAGAGAACCCACGGATTTCTCTGTCGTTGCATCCTGCTGGGCCTGTGGTTTGTTAACCAGCTATTTCTGCCACAGACCATCCAGGTAGGAGGCGTTGCGACCCAACTCTGAGTGGTGCCGAGTGTCCTCCGACTCCAAGGTTCAAGGGACCGGTGGCTTTTGAGATGTTTGACCAGATGCCTTCTGAGGCTTTCCTTTCCAACCATGCTGACGCTGCTTGACTGCCCCCTTCCAAAGTGCTTTTCAGAAATGGGTTTTACCCTCCCTCTGCACCTACGAACCAAAGTGATGTGACTCAAGTCATACAAGGATGTCAGTGGCAGAGAAAAACAAAGCCGAAGTCTCCTGTGCTGCATCCTCCTTTTCCAGCCACTGGACTCTTTGCACTTGTGCATATCCCCAGGTAAAACACCTGTGCTTTGGGATGCCACGCTCACACTCCCAGTCCTTCCTGCTAATCAGGGCTGAATCAGGGTCCGCAGTTCAACCTGCTACCCCCCGAGCCTCTTTTCACAGAACCGCTCTGAGGCACAGTGTGGGTCCAGGCTGCGTGTCTAGCTGATTTGGGAGACTCTTGCTATATGCAGAAAGTCAGCACTGTCCAAAGAGGACTCCAGAGACAAAGGAAAGATGGCTGTGCCAGTCTGAGGCTGAAGAAATCGAGGAGATGCTCCAAATGTTAAAGTACAAGGAAGGAAGAGTGCGGGTGTTGCTGCTGCAAAGCAGCCACAGGAAAAGATACTGGAAGCATCTGAAAATAAGATGCCATGTGATTGAATTTTCTCCTTCCAAGCCCTGCGGCAGAAATATTACCTGGAGTGCCCATAAATCCACGCAATCCTCCTGTTTGGAAGTGCTGTACAGTACAAAGCACCCCCACCACGTCCTGGGAGCTCTTGGCTTTGCTACAGAGGAAAGTATCCGCAGAGCTTGTTGGAAATCCCAGCTGCAGGGGGAAGTGTTTATTTCTGCTGGGGCATTTGCTGTGCACTCCCGGCATTAATCTCGCAGGAAGTGGCAGGGAGACAAGAGGAGAGCCCGTGCAGAGGGGGTTGGCATATCTGCTGCATGCTGCTTCCCATCACTGTGGCTCCGGTCTTTGCTGCGTGGTGTTTCATCTGTGTCTTCTCTGATCTTGCTGCCAACAGTGGAAACGCAGAACTCAGGCCTAGGAGAAAAACTGACAGAGACTGAGATCCACTCCACTTCCAGCTGCCCGAAGGGACTGTCCCAAATCAATGGCACGTTCCCACCAACCCCTACTGCTGAAGACCCACTCTTCTGAGCATGCTGGACGAGTCGGGGAAGGGGTAATTACAAAGACACAAAGGTTAGTTTGGAGTCTATTTCTCATGGAGGAATCCCCCAAATGCCCACCTACAACTTTGAAAACTTCCCTCAGGCACCAGCTTGTTACCTTATCCTTTGCAGGAAGAGGGCTGTGAACCAGCAACGAGGCATGAATCAAACTGCAACACTGCTTTATTCCCAGTGCTTGGCAATTTACCCATAGAAAGGTGTGATCCCTGTCCCAAGAAGCTGCCACCCTGATGCAAGCAGGATGTAGCACTCAGGGCTGACAAACCATGCGGAGCAGACCGAAGAGGAAGGCTGAGGTTACAGCCATAACCCTGCAGGCTGGCTCTGCTTTGGCAACTGTATGTCTTGATGGCTCAGCTGCATGTAAACTATACAGGGTCGGCTCTAACGAGCATCAAGGCAGGAGGGAGTTGTAGGGAAGGGATACTTATCATGAGGCAAGGGGCAGTGAGCCTTCATCCAGATCCCAAAGTGTTTCAGGACAGCAGTTTACCCAGCACCGAGTGCAATGGAGCCCCTTCTGTGCTGGAACAGAGCGCGGTACATGACAACTCAGGGCAGGAAGGCAGTGAAAAGAAATGTGGTCATCATTTGAAGCAGGAGGGAAAATTTACACTGGCCAAATGTAATCAAGCAGGAGGGGAACACTTCCCTGCCAGGGGATCTTTAAGAGCTCACAGTGGGGCGCAATTGCATTTGATCTGAAATCTGGCAGCACCGGATCCCTGGCGCACACCCACGCGGGCCCGAGAATCAAACCCTTCTCTCATGAGGTGGGAAAGACCCACAGGGCTCATGATCCTCAGTCAAATGAAAGCCAGTGAAGGGTTAATGTTGTTCTGCTCAATACACCCTCACTCGCAAGCTGCCCTCTACAATGCCTCCCTTTTCCTTCACCTGCAGTCTTAGTCAGAAAGTCACCGATTGACTTAGTTTTAAAAATGTGGCTTCTTGACTATGGAGATGTTACCCATAAAACAGTTCAAATTGTTCCTTGCATTTAAATGCTGCCTGTTGTATAAAACATCTTCTATCAATTTCCCTCGAGGCTGACAAGCCTTCTCGTCCCCATCCTTTTAATAACAGCAGCGCTCTTCACAGCGCCCTTAGCTGCATTCCTGAGGGGAGCGAATACTCTTAAGGACACCTTTTGTCATCATTAGTTTTCTCCAGCAGTTGAAGGAGGAAGGATTGTACCGAGTAGTTCTCAAGCTCTTGTTGCATCACGTGCCATTAATGCATAGCCTCACTAGGTTCATTTCCCACCAGGTTGGCAGAAGGGCATCAGTGCAGGCGAACTGTCATGTTGGACCTGAGAGGGAATAGTTTCCTCTCGTTCTACCTTGATGTCGGGGGGCAAATCTACACGTGCAATTAGCCTGGCTGAATAAGCTCTGGTGCAGTTCATACTGGAGTTTATTGCTCCCTGGCACAGTGTTTGTATGTGAGCCTGGGACCATAGCACGTTGAGCCAGGGCGGCACAGCACCAGCTGGCACAGGACCCAGGGGTCAGCCTGCCAGCCCAGGGCTGCTCCGCGATAGCTCACTGTGCTGCAGAGGGGCTGGCTGGGGCATGAGAGTGCAACAGTGTGGGGCTATCTGGCAGGCAGCCCCTGCTATGCCCCAGCCAGCCCAGTCACCATCTATATGTGTGACGGTGTACATTACTCTGCTGTAGGATAGCATTTGTGTCTGGCAGTACTATCCTATAGTGGAGTAAACTAGTTTACTCCAGCTTAATAGTGTTGCACATGCAGACAGTGATGCTTTATTGTGGAGCTAACTGGGCAGCTCTGCAGTAAAGTGCACATGTAGGTGCACCTGGGGTGTGGTGAAGCACTGTCAATGGGGAACAAAGGCACTTAGCGTGCACCATATCTGGAAGTGGGGGCTTCACCTATGCTCTGCCCCCCCCAAGGCATCCTTAGCCACTGAGGAAGTGTGGAGAGTGGAGGGAGAATGGACTGGTGCTGTGCAGAAGAAACCAGCCCACCTGAACTGCAGGCATGTGTTACCAGGGGATTTATGCACAGATAACCTCATCCCCATGCTCAGCTGGGCTGTGTGGCTTATCCTGGAACAAGTTAAGTGAATTCAGGTAGAACCAGGTTGTGGAGACAGCACAGGAAAAACCACCCAAAGCCTGGTGTGCACGGGAGTACTGTTTCTCACCCCTGCCGTAACAATAATAACAGCTCACCATGTGCTTTGGCATATGCCTCACATCCCACAGTGCTTTAATGATCATACTGACTGCTGCTGCCATGCAGCCACCTTTGGGGTCAGTTCTGGTAGCTGCTGGCCATGAGCTGAAGAGGTGACTGAAACTGAAAGGGGAAAGCAAAATGTAACTGGAGTCCACATGTTCGAGCCTCAGAGAAAGTCCCAAATGGAGCCAGCATTGCCTGACAGCTTGAGCACTGGCTTAGGACTTGGGGTCCTGGTTTATATTTTATATTCCCAGGCCACCCAAGAGCCCATTGGATGACTTGTGGCAAGCCATGCCACTCCTCCCTGCACCAGGTTTCCCTGTCTGCAACATGTACGTAATACCTTGTGAAGTGCTTGGAAACGTACCACTGAAAAAAGAGTTACTAACCCCTGCAAGAGACCAGGACTCTCTTCCAACACCACACTGATTTCGAACCAGTGCGAAGCATAGCAGGCTCCTAGCACCTCACTGCAGGATGGGTTTTCCTCCCAAGCGGTAAAACCAGCCTGGCCTTGCATAACTTGTGAGCACTCCCTGCGGGGGGCTGCGAAGAAGATGGAGCTGGGCTGGGCTCAGTGGTGGCAGACGACAGCACAAGGAGCAATGGGCTCCAGTTGCAGCAGGGGAAGTTGAGGTTGGATATGAGGAAAAACTCTCTCCCTAGGAGGGTGATAAAGCACTGGGACAGGTCGCCCAGACAGGTTGTGGAGTCTCCATGCTGGGAGGTTTTTAACCAAGTTAGACAAAGGCTGGGATGATGTAGATGAGGATGGTCCTGCTCTGAGCAGGGGGTCGAACTAGATGTGACCTCCTGAGGTCCCTTCAACCCTCATTTTCTATATGCTTCTATGACTGACTCCCAGCATCATGGACGCTGTCATCCACCAAAGCAGCTGAGGGTCAGAGAAGCCATTGCCAAGTCAGACTATTAAAACTGCTTGTTTTTGGGATGGGAAACTTTGCGGGCACCTGGACACTCAAGAGAAACTGCCTCTCAGCAGCTGTTACCGCATGAGAGGAAGAGATGCCAGAAGTGGCAGGGTCTAGTCCAGAAGGTTTTTTCTATAATACTCAAACTGCTGGAGTTTTTATAAACCTCATTATTTGAAAAATCCATAAAAAATGTACCGGAAAATCTGTATTGCCTGCTGTTCAGTTAAATGGCTCCCATCTTGTCATTAGCCACTAGAAGTTGCTCTATCATAAAACACGGCCCCCCCCCATGCATCTGTAAAGCGATTGCTTTCATGTCCGTGCCCCCAGGCGCTCAGCCAGGGAGCTGTGTGCTCTGTCAATCTTTGGCCATCTGTGCCCTTCCCCCCCTGCCCGCCTTGTGCATTTCTGGCAGCCGTTTCTCTTAAGGCGATTACGAGGTTGCATCTTTCAGCAGCGTAACAGGAGAGAGGAGCTCGTGGGGCCTGTCTAGTTTGGACCCGCACATCTCAGCCTCACAGCAGCTTTCTGAGCTACCCTGGGCATTAAAGCACCACCTGTAAAGGGACTGAGCACTTCCAAATCCCACCAAAGTCACTAGAGTTACATCTGTGCAATGCACCCAGAAATCAGTAACTCCAGCCACAAGCGTGGGAGAGTGCTGCCAGCCTGGCAGGCGCAGAATACGCTGCAAATGTAACGGAAAGCTATCCATTCATTGGCATTAGCCGATTCAACAGCAAGTAACTTAAGATGCACACATGCAGATTCAACACATTCACCTATCTCACAGATAGGAAATAACGGCACTGTGCATCGCCATAGGACGACGCCCGTCAGTGACAACCTGAGCTTCCTCCCTCGTTCTCGGCTCAAGGCTTGAAGCCCCACGTGGCATCGCCTGGAGGGATGGGATTGGCTAGACGCTGGGTATCAGACTTTGCTAGTATTTAGATCCAGTGCTGAATATCTCAGGACATAGGCGCCACCTTTTATTTTTGCTGGGGGTGGCTAAGATGATGGGCATGGTGAAAGTTTTGCACATTTCAGGTGACAGCCCTCTTCCTGAGGGGGGCCAGGGACCTCGGGCCCCCATATCCTCAGCACCCATGCCTTAGGAAGTAACGTGCTGGAGCTTTTGGGAGAAGGTGGGCAGGCAAGGTGGGGAGGAGGAGGTCATGCTGAGGTCTGTGAGCTGGAAAAAGTTTGCTGATCAGAGGAAAGATTACGGAATAGGAAGGTGGAAGGGGAGCCTTGACAGAGCCAAGCAGCTCTCTCCAGTGGGAGGCAGATGTTTCAGTGCCAGACATCTGGCCGCTTTCCCCAGGAGCAGGCAGACAAGAACAATTTCATCAGTCTCTCCCCGCCCCCGTGCAGGCTGGCGCTCCCTCTGCTTGCCCTCGTCCCAGCCCAGCATGCTGCCCTGGCAAAGATCACACCAACCCTGGGTGCCACTGGGCTCAGTCAGTGCCGCTTGTTTGCTGAGGCTTTGGCCGAGCGTGTCCAGCGCCCCATCAAAAATAATACACACACAACCATTTGCTGCTGCAAGTCAAATACGCTGCCAATGAGAGTCCAGCGGGCTGTATTAGAGCTCTTTTGGATGGGGCTACAGCCCTGTAAAGGGATTCGAGCCAGCTTTGAGAAATCAATTTTCCATTCTTTTCTCCGTTATGAATAGATTTTCAAAGTCTCAGTAGGTCTTTTCTGCTGCAGCCAATGTCAAGCTGCCTCTCTCTGGCTTAAATCAGCACCCCCTGTTGATCACGCTGGAGGTGCGGGATTCAAAACAGCAGGGGCAAGAGACAGACAGATTGAGGTTAGCACCAGCCGCAGTGGCAAAGTGGACTGACGGATGCTTTTAATAACTGCAAATGCTATTCTTGGGGCTGATGATTTAGCATTTAGGATAAGATAGAGAGGGAATTAAAATGAGCCAAGGAGAGCACTTACTTTTTATCCGTGCCTGCCTGCTGCCTGCTGGCTCCAGTCCTCATCATGCTATTAATGCATATGGATACTACTTCCTTTCACTGGAAGAACAAAAATACAAAATTGCTTGATTCGACAGTTGGAATATTATAGCTCTCCTTTATGGAGGCTATTGTGGCAGGTCACTTAACTATGTAAGCAGAGGTTTAAATTTTAACCTGTCAGAACGATAGCTTAGAATCAAAATTTGTCAGCTCAGATGCAAGCGTCAGTCTGAGAAACAGGCTGTGTGAGTTAGGCTGTGTTAAAATACACGTCTAATGGCCTGCACAGATGTTCAGAGGAGTGAGTTTTTCAAACACCGTTTTTCCCGTGGACTGCTGCATTCCTGTTCTCCCCAAATTTGGGTTTAGAACTTATCACCTTTCTACGAGCAGGAGCTGCACTGTGCTGGGAGCTGTACAGAGACAGAGACCAAATCCTGGCACAGCAGGGGCTGGCTCTAGCATGCCACCCCTATCCACCATCCTAGGGAAGGCAGGAAAAATGAGTTGGGCTCAGCATGTTATTCCCTGGTGGCTCTATTCAAAGCCCCTAGCAATCAATGGAAATACCTTTGCTGAGGGGACTGTGTCCTAAGAGAGGCATCCCCCCGGCTTCAGAGTTCTCCAGATTTTTCTTTAAAGACTAAGTCCAGGGGGTTGTTTCCAGCATATATCAAGTCCTGCAGAATCAGCCATAAGGGTCTATATCTTTGCTGGATGGAGGGAGGGTGGGAGGGGGAGTGATTTTTTTTCCCGACCATTCATTACCTAATGTGTTAAAATCCTAGGGTAGAACCAGGCAAAATGTAGCTGTAAAAGGCTTTCCCTCCGGATTTACACACATCGGCTAGCATGTGTTAGAACTACAAGCTGCCTTGTCTACCCAAGGAATTCAGCATGTGTTAGCTAATGTTTGTTAAAAATTCACCATTTTTCCCAGGAGTAGACACCGCTACAAGAGGGCCGGGATTCTCCCAGTTCCCGGCAGTTGCCCTTGTGTGCTTTGCTGTTCTCCCAGCTTTGGGATTCTCGCCTCCTCAGTGTCAGCGCTTCGTTCTCACAGCGACCCCCTGCCTCCTCTTCTGCTCTGACTTGAATCCCTTATAGGGTCCGACATCCACACTCCTCGTGCTTCCCCGTGGGTCACGCTGCCATGGCCCTGGTATCCTATGCAGAGGAGCAGCAATCGATATTCCAGCCCATGGCTTGTCTTGGGGCTCAGGTGTGGATGTCACCCTCCTCCCGGTCTCCCGCTCCCTGCCTTTCACCTCGGCATGAAGCTGATCTCCTAAGTCTGAGGGAGTTGCAGGTGGCAGCCTCCTCCCCACTATCTCGTGGTTTGATTTTATAGAGAGGTGATTTGTGTTCAGATCGCTTAACGAATCTCAAAAATGAGGTGACATTGTCACTGCCTGCGCTTCCATGGCAACCCATATTTATTCCTCAGGGCTGTTTCATAATAATTAATACACTACTTCCATTCACGCACCCTGTGTTCGCAGTGCGTGGCACAGCCACCGCTGGGATTTACCTGGGTCACACGAAACATTTCTGCTAATGAATGAGATGCAAGAATTTCTCTGGGCGTTCTGGCAGCCGTGGCAAGGCGCACACAGAAGCCGACAGCCCCTCGGCCATCTGCCCAGCCCTCCCCAGCGCTCGTAGCGAGGCAGCAGAAGGAGCAAGCGTATGTGGACATGCGCGGGTGCAAACCTCTTCGGCAGGACCCTCATGGTGGCAAAAGGCCCACCCCTGCAGATGAGACGCACAACCCGGAAGCCCGGCAATCGGAGAGGGACCGGATAATGAGCAAACGGGGGTGAGGGCTGCAAGTTGCAGGGTCAGAACAAGGGATCCACAGGCCTTAAGGCCAAAATACGCTGCTCGCCCCTAGTAGGTGCAGCAATTACTGGACAAGCTTGGGATGAGCACAGTGAAGTGCATGAGGGAAATGGAGTCTCCACAGGCTATTCAAGATTTGGTGCAATCCTCACACCACCAGCAAAGAGGCCAATTAGCCTCCGTTGCAGAGACAGAATATGGGCAGTGGACAGAAGAGCAGAGATTTAAACCCCTGTCCCCAAAAACAGACCACTTGTCTTTTCTCTCTTGGAAAATGGCACACTCCTGTTCCCTGATGGGATGCATCCAACCTCTTAAAAGCAGCTGCCTCCACTGCAAGCCAGCTATTAACATG